GTAGCTTAGATGGGGGGCTTAATTTATAAGTTGCATTGCGGCTGGGAGGCAAAGGGGCAATAGCTTAGCTTTGCATATTTTGTTCGCTTTATAATTATTATGGCATATAATTTATTAAATTAATTTAAATTTTGAGGAACTAATTATAAAATCAACAGCATTATCTGGCTGTTTTTCGTAGTCACCTTATGTGGCTGTTATTTGCCAACGAAATCATGTGAATTAGTTTTTAGTCATAATATTGAATTTATTGTCTTTTTTTTCTTAAATATAATTTATGTGAAACCGCATAATATTATGTTTTATTCAAATGTACCGACAAGAAGCTGATATGAGATGCAAAATCGATATTTAGAGTAGCAGACAGGCACGTGATGGATTTTAATAATAACATATCATTTATTTGAAAATAAAACTTCCCAGTCAATACATTCAAAAATAGAATTTCAAATTAAATATAACTATAAAAGTGTTTTCACTTTTGTTTTTGTTCGCAACAGTATAAATTCGACAACTTTGTAGATTTTAAATAGTCCGCAGAAATATGATTTTAAATGTGAAATGTGAATTTTCTCAATACTTTGGAATAGTCTCTAATATGAGTCATTGAAAATAATTTTTTTCTGGTTGCAAATTGAGCTATTATTTCCAAAAATGAACAAAGAAAACCCTTATATAATTTTGTTTTTTAATTTCAAATCAATATTTGTATTTTGTTTGGGATATAGTTTATTTGGGATATAGTTTATGGGTGGAATTCCCTAACATAAAGCTAACGAACTAACGATGAGGAACAGTGTCGAGATTGAATAATATAGTCTACCCTTCTTAGAGCTTAGTGAAAAGTGGCATTTCCCCACTATGAATTAGATATTTTAACAAACAACAAACAGGGATTATGCATGATTTTTTTTATGGATAAAAACATTTAAGGGAACACATTCTCGATTTAAATTTTTCAAGATAAATCAATACCAATGCCTATTAAGGTTTGGAAGATCGCCGATTTTTGACCAAAAACCAAGTTAAAAAATAAGGAAGATCTTCCCCGATTGGCTTTATCCTAGTTCATACGATAGCTATACACTCACAGAGAAACGTGTGATAATTTGGGATCGATTGGGCTATTAGTTCTTAAGTTATAGTGCCCGCCATTCGCAAAACCAATGTTTAGAGAAAAGCGCGTTTAAATTTTGAGTAGCCCGTCAGCCGTCACTTGATGCTGACACAATAAATCGACTACATCTTCAAGAGTTCTTGAGATTTTCACTTGAAATTTTGTAGTTACATTCTTGAATTAGTGTAGATTTGAATTACATCAAAAACATTTTTGACGCCGAGAATGGGGGTCCCCTTAAAACAATTTTCATTAACATTTAACAGCTAGAACATTTCTGGCTCAAATTAGATTTTTGTGCAAAAATTTCTGCGTCTGTGTCAGAAAAGACCTTTTTTGGGGTCCGATTTCCTCATGAGAAATACCGAAAACGTGCACCTAGTTTGGTTAGAAAATAAATAAAAAATGGAATATGGCGTTGGACGAGGATTGGAGATTGGAAGATTGAGCAGAAGGAGGGTCACAAAAGATAATGTTAATAATACTTAAGGATGGGAAAAAGGGGAGTGTTTTATACCCTTAGCCATATTGGAGCATCCTTTTTTAAACAATTTGGAGTCGATTCACAAACTGAGATAATATTGTGAAATTATAAATGTTTTAAAAAAACTAGTTCCATCACGACACCAGACAGTGATTCCATAAATTTCAAACCCAAATAACACAAAAAGTCAGAATAATTGTGTACTACATACCGCTCATTTGCTGCAAGACCGGCATAAATCCAACATATCGATTTTGCAGATGATGCGTTTAAGTTTTCAATTGTCTCATACCTTTCAAGGAACAGCAGAATTTTTACAGCTTCTCAATCCGAATGTGTAAGATGTATTCATGTACATATTTTGCACAACAATCACGACTCTGATTTATGCTATTCTTACAGCATATGAACGATATGTCATAGGTTTGAGTCAGATATGTAAATTCAAAATCCAATTTCAAAGTAGAGGTTTTGAAATTAACCAATATTTTTTTATGCGGTTAGATTTAGTCGGATTTACCTTGTAAGAGTGTAAAACATTAAACATATGCATAATTAGCATTATAGTTGTCTGTGCGATGTCCAATTTGATATTTTGAAGTCATAATTTAAAATATTTTTATACCCTACACAACTATGTTGTCAGGGTATTATAGCTTTGTGCAGCCCCAAAAGGTTGTAACGCCGCGAAATGTTGGTCCTAGACCAGGGATGCGAAATGAAATTTTTCAAATTGTACTAGCTTTCAATAAAAAATTTACTTTTTTCTGTCCGATTGTACTTTTTATATATTTTTTAATAAAATTGTTATTGTTATTAACAATTAATATAAACATAAATAAAAAATTAATGAAGATTTGAAGCAGTAATTAAGATTTGAAGCAGCAGTTCCTTTCGTTGGTTTTAATTATATTTTGATATGAAAATACCCTTTCTACATTTGTAGATGAATGTGAAATATATAATAACCCTCTAAAAAGGAAACATATCTTCGTTTAGTATATTTTTGACTTCAGTCACCTTTGACCAACAAGTGCATATATTGTCGTTTTTGAAAGACTTAATAATTTCTACATGCATTCTGGCATCCTCAGACTGCATTTCTAATTTGATATTATTTATAATGTTTGTACATATTGCAAGAACGCAAAAAACAGTAATCAGTAAGAAAGAAGTAAAGTCGGACGGGGCCGACTATATGATACCCTTCACCACTTTGGGTTATTCAACAGATGAATCTTAACAGACGTCGCATTTTTGAAGGATCAGTAAAATGAAATTGGATTCTGCCACCTATACTAAATTTTTCATTTGGTCAGATATAGAGTTGCTTCTTACAATGGGACACAATTATTTAAATCAATTTAAATATCTGATAAACATGAATCTGAATCTGAACCGATTTCTTAGTAGGTCTTTAGTGCACAACTTACATAAAATCGGAACAAAAAATATGTAAGAGATATATCTAAATCTGAACCGATTTCCACGAAAATTAACACAGATCATGGTAGACTTAATTCAGTAAGCCATGCCCAATTTTGTGGAAATCGAAAGATATATAGAAACTTTGGTACACCATTTACTTTAAATCGGACGAAAATATATATGGGAGCTACATCTAAATCTGAACTGATTTTCACGAAATTTAATACATATATTTCTAGATTTAATTCAGTACCCTATGCCAAATTTCGTGCAAATCGAAGGATATATAGGGACTTTGGTGCACCATTTTCCTTAAATCGGACGAAAATATATATGGTAGCTATATATAAACTTGAACCGATTTTCACGAAACTTGGCACACATCATTCTAGACCCAGTTCATTACGCTGTGCCAAATTTCGTGCAAATCAAAAGCTATATAGGGACTTTGGTACACCATTTACTTTAAATCGGACGAAAATATATATGGGAGCTATATCTAGATATGAACCTTTTTTCACGAAACTGAGCACACGTCATTCTAAGCTTAATTCAGTACGCTATGTCAAATTTCGTGCAAATCGCAAGATGTATAGGGACTTTGGTACCGAATTTGAGGAAACTTAACACACATCATTCTAGGCCTAATTCGTTACAATTTGTCAAATTTCGTACAAATATATAGATATATAATGACTTTGGTACACCATTTACCTTTCAATAACTTCTTGACGTGAGAGCCATCGAATTGTTGTACCGCAATATTCCTGAAACAATGAAAAATCATCATATTGTATGTTTAAGCACTTACAATACTTTTAAGTGAGAGTAGTTTGATACAGTGTAGAAATGGTGCTAAATATGTCATTGGGGTGCTATAGTATTTTTGACTTCTAAATAGTGCTAAAATTAGTACAATTGTACCAACTTTTGCATCCCTGTCCTAGACCCACTTTTAAGTATACCGATCGTCATATCTCAACTAGCTGAGTCGATCTAGACATGTGTGTCCGTCCGTCCCTCTGTCCATTATAATTTGTAACCACGATGCAGGCCACAGTTAAGGACCAATTTTCACGAAATTTTGCACGTAGGATGGGCTCGGCCCAATGAAGACCCCTATTGTTCGCTTACTATTTAGGGGATGAAATGGACCAAATACTTAATTTTTGTCAGTTTTTCTGATCGCTCCAAAAGCCGCAATTATGGCCCAACATTTCGAATTTTTACATGGAGAAGGGGATTGGGCCAAAGAATAAGCATGCCTGTTTTGATAGAGATCGATCAATATTTAGCGGGTCAAATAGACGCTGACTTTTGTGTGGAAAATTACAAAATTTGTATTCTACAGCGTATATATTTACTCCTGAAGGACATAGACCCGAGAAGTTGATAGTATATCCAAGAGGAGTGGTTTGCCTTTAGATTGAAACCAATTATATTGTCGTATGTACTCGGATGTGGGAGTTACATTTACAGGTGCTTACGTATTCGGATATTATTTAATAAACCATTATTCATGCTATAGGCTACAACTATAAGCCGAACATCACAACACAACCCACGGTGAAAAGAAATATAGGCAAGTTGTTAGAAGACTGTACTGAATATTAGTAATATTCGGAAAATATTTCAGTGTAAGGAAGAGGTGCCGTTGGCCTCTTATCGGGAAAGAAGGTGCTACTATCACGAAATATTGCCCAGGCTCGGAATAAAACTTTGCAGAAAGTTAGAATTCCTTGGTAGTTGTGTAGGGTATCATATGGTCGGCCCTGTCCGACTATTCTGCTCCGCTCACTGGTTTTTATTATATACATATGTTTTTTATCCATATAAAACATAAAATAGGAAAACATAGACATACCCAGTCACCTTTCATCATCATTGTTTCACATTCTAATTATTTCTTATTTGTTACTTCCTTTAAAATTCTTTACTAATATTTAAATTTCTCCCTTCTTCTCTTTTCAGACTTATCACAATTTTTGTAGAACACCAACTGGTTGCCTTAAAATCAATTTTAATAAAAACTTTTTAATTAGTGTGTAGTGTTGTAAATGTACATCATGCGTTTTTTCTCTATATATACATCTACATATATATACATAATCACATATATTATATATAGTTAATTTGCAACCACAATAACAATAACAACAACAAGAAAACCAAATTCGTTTGTAAGTGTAAATAAGCAATTTGTTTTTATCGGGAAACAGAAATTCGTCCATAATTTTTATGAATTTATTTTTGAAACCAAATTGGCTTTAATTTCTGAAAAGAAACAAAAAGAAGAAAAAATAAAAAACAAAACAATGTAAATTTTTTTATACAATCTTCGTAAAACAAATGCTGTTATACAAAATATAAAACCAAAAAAAAAAAACACAAAACAACAATTAAATAAATAAAAAAGTGCCTAAAATTTACAAAGAAAAGCAACATAAACTTCCCTAAAATACCCCTCACATCCCTTTAAAAAAATCCTGAGAGCAAGTAGAAAAAACACAAAACTTTAAAGCAAACGAAGGAGATCATCACCTGGTGTTCTTTTTCGTTAAAAGCCCAAATCAACCAAAACAACCCCAGCGAATCCTTTAGAAATTTTCCAACGCGACACCGGTGACACAAACACGCTGGCACTGGTGAACGAAGTTTTAAGTGGCTTTGCCTTAGCGATGCCATTTATTGATGACGCTCTACTCTGGTGTCCGGATAACGATGGTCGCATTGTGGGTGGTCTAGACATATCAGCATGCATGCAGGTTGGTACACGATGTGAATATAAATGTGGAATGTATGTGGAGTAATGCTTCTTCTTCATGATCTTTTCTTTTTCTAGGATGGAGTACCCCAGTCCAATGAGAATGTCAGCGAAAACACACAGTTAGCCGAGAGTACCACAGACATAAATGCCTTAGAACCTTCGTTGTGCAACAATGACTCTTCCGATGAACTGTTCCGCCAACTGTCCGAAAGTAATTTTGAAATTGAGAGTTTACTCTCCGATTTAGCCACAGTTGAAGTGAAAGTAAGTAAATGGGGGAAAGATTAAAAAAAGTTTGTATGTATGAATTAAGAAGATTCAGAAGAGAAACGGTAGATTTGAAAAAATATAGGATCGAGCATTGGAATTAAATAATATAATATTGGAATTAAATAATTGGAGCAAGAACTGAAAGGATGCGTAGACATAATAAATTACTTATAAATCAAAATTCAAAGAGTGATGCTAGTTTTGATAATACCCAAATATAAACCAACACCGAAACAAAATTGTAGGAATATGGTTTAACCAATAAGGACCTGAAATGCCAATTTATAGGATATTTTCATATAAATATCAACTCATAATTTTCTGGAATAAATAGGTGTATCTTTCATCGACCTCGGGGACCCTTGATCGGCATACAATTATATAACTAAATCGCAATATTTAATATAGAACTTGGTAATTTTGAACGTGCATTGTTACTACTCAAAAGATAGGATTTTAGTATTTAATCGGATATATCATTCCAAATTTTTTGAATTGACTCAATATTACATCATCGACCATTTTTTTTAATGTTGTCTAATATTGGTCAATGGTTTGAGATAAGAATTTTATGGTCCTAGGCTCGTTTTTTTAATGAAGTGCCACTCATATGGAATTCCGAGTCCTTTATTGATCCTATATAAAGGATTAAAATGAATTTCGTTTAGTCGGTAAAAAGTCGAAATATCTGTAGGGATATTTTTGAATGAAACGATATTTGTGCAATCATGACGGGTTATATAAATATCTCTGAAAACCCGAAGTGTACAATTTCAGCCGACTTGCTTGACAAATAGATAAAATCCATATCAAAACCTCAGTTGTCAATTCTGAAAGAAATTTTGTTATGCCTTAAACATTTAAGTCCTATACAAAAATGTGAAAAACCTTTATACCTTTTTAATCCGTGCTAATTTCGTCCCAATATATGTTAACTGAGACTATGCAATGAGCTGACCAAGATCGGGATGTTTCTAACATCGGATAAGTCGCATAATAATAATGAATAAATACCAACTTATCACGGATAAATGTTTGTAACCAGACCGCTATAAAAATGTTTTTTATTTAAATCTTTTTCTAATTAATTTTTCTTTTTATTTCCCCCCTCTAGGAAGAGAATAACAACATCAGCGATGTTACCAGTGAAGGATGCGTGGCAGATGAAACATTTGCTGCACTGGTCAATGGCACGACCGGTGTGCCCGGCACTGGTGGCAATATCGTTGGCACAAGCACGTGTAATGGTGGTCGCGTTTCATCAACGACATCACATTTAATTGCCGGCAATGGTATTCAGCTACCGGGTGAAAATTCTGCTCTGGGTTCTGTGGGTACAAATTCGTTAACGCTAGAACCCACTGCAGCATCTTCTACACAGGAGCAGGCAAATAGTTCATCATTTTTAACACGTATCAGCAATAGTAATAGCAATAATAATAACAACAACAACCCCCTCAATAATAGCAATCACAACAACAACAATCATAATTGCACGAATGGCACCAATAATAGCAACATCAACAATAACAGCAGCAACAACACGATTAGCTCAGAGAATTCATCGATATTCGATGATAGTTCGACGCGTTTTCTAATCGCCTCAAATCCATTGTTGGCCGAAAAGTTAATGGCAAAAAGTTTAATACTCAAAACGGAAGCAACGACGACAGATTATAAAGGTAAGTATATTTTGTATGACAATTAAGACTATTGAATAATTTTAGATAGAAAGATTTATTTTAATCAACTTTATGAAATTTTTTATTACTTTATAACTGATGTTAGGAATTTTAAAACTAAAGATATATTTTCCATTTTTTTACATTTATTCAGAGATTACCCTGAAATTCAATGTATATGAATTGTCATACATCACTCAATTGCTGTAAGACCAACATAAATAAAAAAATCGATTTTGCATAAAATGTGTTTTAAGTGTTTAATAGACTCACACCTTACATGGAAAAGAGGAACTTCTTCAGCTTCTTAATCAGAGTTTGTAAGATATATTCTTCTGAATTATTTACACAACATGAAGTCTGAAGTAGCGAACAATTTTGCATCATTAATTCAAGAATGACGATTTTAGATATATGCCGGTCTTGCAGCAAATGAGCGATATGTGAAATTAATTAAATTAAACCTGCAAAAAGTTGTAATACACTGCGTATCATAACTATAGACGCACCCATAATTCAATTGGTATGTTAGTTGACAAATAGTTAAGTTAATATACACATATTATTCAACAAAAATAATTAATTTATTCTTTATGGTTTCGCCGAATTCTGCACTTTCAAAATTGCTGGTGTTGCATAACTATAGACGCACTTTTACAAAATTAGAACAATTTATTTGTTAAAACTTAAATAAAATAAGATAACTTTTATAAATAATGGGTAGGGCCTCCCTTATTTTGAATAAGTTCAAAAATTGTATCCATCACACTGTTGATCAAAATTATTCTTTATAGCCATTTATCGATAATCACTGTAAAATAATGTTTGGTATTGGCGGTTTTCTGCATAGACCTCCTTGCCAATCGCATGAAAAAGTTGATGTGTGTGTATTAATTTATAAATGCAAACCATTTTTATATTATCTGAAGCATATTTTAGGGGATATAATAAACATAAAATAAGATTGACATCTTGAAAGCTACCCCGCCATTTTGTACATACATGTATTAAAAAACTACATAAAACATTTTTGTTTTGTATAGCCATTCATTTAATTTCATATTTATTAGAACTACAAAACATTTGAGTTATACAGTTTGAGAATCATTGTGACAATATTGCCAACTATATATTCGTATTGCCAACTAATTAAAATAGTAGTCAAATGTAGCCAATGCAACGTTGCGGTTTATGTCGACGCTAAAAACACGACGACACCATCTCATATTATATATTTTCTATAGCATACATTTAGGCACATATAGCAACAAAATAAATGTTAATTTCGCTAATCAACAGTAGATGATGTTTGTCGCTTGGTAAAGCGAGTACACAAACCGGAGCCATGCAAATAAAATTAGGGTGATATAGATGTCGCTTAAGCGTAATGTAGAATCGACAATGTAATTTGGCAGAATAATAATTTAAAATTAATTAATTTGTCATGTTCATTATTCGGGAAGTTTAAAGAGAAATTATTGATTTATTGGAAATCACTTAAAAAAAGAAATTCTCGATAAAGTAGAGGGGTGTGTAAAAATAGGGAATTAAAAATAGGGCACTATTATTTTTATACCAACATAGCTATGAAATTTTGTAATTTATTAACCGAGTGTCATCTATATTTGAAAATATAATTTTAAAATGTCTGTATAAATGGAACTCAGTAATAGTGAGATGGCGTTTTTAGAGTAAAAAAGTTGAGAATAATTTTGAGGAATTGTGGATTGTTGTTGGTTATAAAATGGGGATAATACTACACATTAAAGTCTTGCATTAAATACACAACGGAGCTCATTATCTGAGGGGTGGACAATTCCCTATGGGGATGGAAGCTTTTGTAAGTATCCAGAAGGACAAATTCGACAAAGGTAAAGTTGTTATGTTATAGCGTGATTATTTGTTTACTGATTATTTCCAAATTCATGAAGAAAACGCATTATAGCTTTGTTTGCGACTATTGCAAGTTATTTTTGAGATACCATGTCTTCATTCAAATCGAATAAGCAATGTCTTTGAAAAATATATTCCTTTCCTATCTCGAATCCTTGTGCGCCATGTTTCACCTCATTGAACCTAAATATCACAAGACGAGACATGTAAACCTCAAATATTCTGCAAAAATTTCCGTTCATAAAATTTTAGATGGGGCCCTCAAAGACAAGAAATCGATATTTTATGTTTTCGTCGTTCATTTCAACATTTCTTGCTCAGAAGGTGTACACAAAATGTTCGAAGAAAATGTAAAAGTAAAAACTGTCGGATTCGTTTAACATATTTACCAAAAGAGGTCTCACATCGCGATTCAGGTTAGTAAAATGTATGTTGGAGACAGATCCGGATGTTTGAACCTGATTTTCAGGTAATAAACACCCAGACCATGGACTCAATTTTATTGCATATTTTGTTAATTAACAAAAATAGACGTATTGCATTGAAAAGTCTAAAAGTCGAAGTCGACTTTTGATCTTTGAGGAAATCGCAAAGTCAACTTTTGATTTTCTTCATAAAAACTTGGTTAATTATCACAAAATCCAATTTACTGAAAAATTACCCATTCCAGAACTTTATATTATCTGTCGATGACAATTCATATAAAAAATAACATTTTTAGAGAATTTTGCATTAGTCGGTAAAAATCGAAAATCGATTTTGAACAGATTTGACAAAATCGAAATATCAAAAGGTCGAATTTTTAGCCAAATGCAAAAATCGAAGAGCCAAAAAATAGACTTTTTGGACAGAGTACACCTAATAACTATTTCGACGTGTGCTCCACATCGAAGAATACCTTACCCTTTTAAATGCCAAAGTAGTGAGAGGCTATATGTTAAGGCTATACTCCATTTGTCGCATTTTTTCCTGTGGCCAATACCATGGAACCTTAATACCACAAGGTTTGGAGAATTTTAAGGAAATATGCGTAAATTGATAATGCCGAATGCAAGATTTTGGTTCATTGCCAAAATACGAAATATTTTCGCATTTTAATAGGCATATGTCTATAGAATACCTTCACCGATAAAATGAGTGAATGTAACTCAAATTAATATTACAATGTTTCCTTAAATCATCGATAATATGTGTGGTCTTCGGAGACCTTCACTTATATCATCCTTGAAGAAACGGAACATTAACATCAATAATATGTTGCTTTCGTTATGATAATACACAACGAAAATTTAACAAGCGAACTTATACTTCGAAAATATCAATAATGAATAAGACATACCCTCACATGAATACACGTAAAATGCCATCTACCGCACCAATAATTTGGTATTTAATTCCAAACCTCACATCCATACTTTTTCTATTGCAATGCCCAAAATTTAATTATAATTCTCGGTGGCATGTTACAAAATGTGAAAATCCCATATTGTGTACTTGACTTCAAAAGCACTATCCAAACCATTCCCTAATCAGTTATAAAAACGAAACATTTTCAAATGTTGCAACATTATATCTATTTACACGAAATTATTCCATAAGCCTAATTCCACACACACACACACACACATCATACACAATTTGCACACTCTTCTATGGATTCCATTTCACAATTCACATTCAATTAAATCCCTTCAAAATCATAACGAAACAACCACATTTTAATTGAATTCTCTGAAATTTGATAGAAAAAGTTTTAAAGAATTTCATATTTTTTTCGACGCTGTTGTTGTTGTATACATTACACATTTTAAGCCGGGCGAAAAGAAAATCATACCACATTAAGTTCTTTGGCATCGAAAAATTTACGCTTTGCTTGTCATAAATGCCTACAATACATCAATACATTTAGCCCTGTCCCGAGGGAGATAGGGTCTGGCGACAGGCGGGAGAAGAAGATATAATGTCGGTTTTGCTGTTAAATCTGTTTTATTGGGGCTTATAACCTGCCGAACGTACACCAACATCGGAATCAGTGTTACGCACACGTCCCTCAAGCTCAACCATTATTTTTCTATTACCACTCCCCTGCCACATCACCAAGTACAAAACAGGAGAGAATAACCTTTCAAGGCCATTTCAAAAAAGTACAATGATCTCTGAGAAAATACCAGAATTGTCGTACACCCATACTCTTACTCTACACACACGCTCTCTCTCTCATTCTTTTTTATATCATATCATCATTGTGTAGTCTACCCCCAAAAGGATCATCCCCGCTCTTCCTACGCAGACTGATGGGTTTTCAAGAAATTCAATAAACTCTGAAAACAAATCATTTTTCCAGCAACAAAAAACAACAACAATTGTTATTTTATTGGTATGTGTGGAAGCAGACGACATATCCTTCCTTTTCCATTTTCACACACACACGCACAGTAGAGATCCTCATCCACCGCCAATCGCCTATGGTCTTGGCTTACACAGAAATAGATTGTCAGGCAAGAAAACTGGAGGATTTGTTCATTTGTGTGTGAATGTGTTTGTGTCTCATACACGCACACACATACACAGGTTGCTAAGACGCGACAGGGAAAAAGTCAACCATCCATCCATCTACCCATTGGCAATGTAACATCCAAACTTGACATTGGCTCCAGAGGCAAGGGAGCAGCCATTTATAATCGCACTTCTAAGTGGGAGCAACGGCAGTAAGGCTCCAAACTCACCAACCAAGATCTGTGGCAACTCCCTCAGCCTCAGACGTGGCACTGGTGGTTGTGTCGGGTCAATAAATTCTTCAGTATGGAAATATACTTTCAAGGTCAAAAGGATATTGCCTTTGTTCACAATAGAATGAACAAACAACAAAGCAGAGCAGCCAACCAGCCACCCAGACCATCGTGCATCCTCCCACAATATCCTTTTTTGGAAATTTCGGGATCTAAGACGAGACACACAAAAACAACACAACAAAATACTGACGACGAAGTGAAAACCGAGGGGCAAAACAACGTTTGCAGAGTTTCCGTATAGTCTGGAGATGAGGAGGAAAGATGTTAGGGCGGCTGTGATGGCGGCGTGTAATGATGCGGCTACCATAACGGTAACTGCGTCGGAAGCAGCATTCGACTGCCCAAAGTTCGTTAGTTAAATAATGCCTTTGTCCTTGAATTCGTTCATACGAATTTTCAGGGTCTTATGAGTATTTTGCCTTTTTCGGAAAATGCCATCCAGCCAGCCTACATTACGACTGCAGACAGGGTGGGGCAGCGGGTGCTTACATTTGGATAGTTTCAGTTTGTGTGTGTATGTGTGCGCAATGCGTATTATGTATTCGTAAAAAATATTGTTGATGTCTTTTTGTGTTGTGGTGTTTCTCTGACGGAGGATGAGGACGACAGACATCCTGCGACCAAAAAAAGGAACAAAAACAAAAAATGAATTGAATGTCATTTATATACGAAAATATAAAAACGAACACTCACACAGACGCACGCACACACTCAGACCCAGACAGGGCCACAACATGAACTTGAAAAACAAGACACTTACACAGAACCCTGTGGGTCATTGTAATATCGGCGGTGGCCTTGAATTTTCGGTCTCCTTAATTTGAAAATATTAAGGAAAAGAGTCCTTCTCATTCTTCTCATTTGGAGGGATGTAATAGGCATGTCTGTGTGTTGGTGTGAGTGCGTTCCATCTTAATGGGGATCAATGTATTGGTAGTGTAGTTTTTTGTTTCTTTTTATTTATAGCTGCTGTGGGGGTACGATGCAAAACTTTTCCACCTATATTTGTCAGTTATATTAAGGATGACAATAAAACGAACTTTTTTAATGTTTTTGTGTTCCGCTAAATGTATAGCTGACATGAGTTCTGTAATTTACAAAAAAAAAAGAGAATAAGTTAAGGGAAGATAAAAACCTACCCTGCTAAAGAAATTATTTAAATATTTTAGATTAAATTTTGTCATTGCGGGAAAGCGGGAAAGACTTCCTAAAAGCAGTCGATTATATTCGGCAATCGATATATATAGCAATACAGATTCCCTATTGGTTGCCTATACAAACTTCGTGCTCGAAAGACTCTCTACATACAAGTGGACGTCCAAAAAGTCTTGTTTTTTTCTGGGAGCCCCTAAAGACTTAATACTTGGAGTTTACGAAGACTGGTAATATACGAATGCTAAACCTAAACCTACAAAGACTCTGCACTGGGAATCTATAAACACTCCCTACTGGTAGTATAGAAAGTCTCACTATAACCACTATCTTCTAATACCTACAATATATCTATACTGGTAGACTACAAACACTATCTACTGTGAGCCTTTCTTCTGAGACTACTTCTACAAAGTCGCTTTTCTGAATAACTCACTGGTAGACCACAGGCACTCCATACTGGAAGTCTACAGAGAATTCTATTTGAGTCTGAAATACTTCTTATTGGGGGTGTATAAAGAGACTCTGTAAGACTTCTTACTGGAATCCCACAGAGAGCCGAAAGACTCTTTGCTGAGAATTTAAAAAACTCTATACTGGGGGTCTACTAGGATCCTTACTAAAGGCTGCAAGGGCTTTTAGTAAGGACCTTGCAGCCTTTAGTAAGGCTGCAATGTCCTCCTAAGGGGGTCAACTAGGATCCTTACTAAAGGCTGCAAGTGCTTTCGACTGGGTGTCTATAAAAAATCTCTATTGGGATATCATATCATTGATACACCCTGCTGGTGCTTTGTATAGATTATCTGCCTGGAATCCCTTTGAGGGTCTACAAGGACTCTGCATTGGTACTTTAAAAATCATCCAAACTGCGAGCCTATAATGACTCAATATAAAAGTAATCCATATTGGGAGTATAAATCCCCTCCAACGGGTTTAGCACTCCTTCGGGTATATAAAGACTCCTTGCTGGGAGTCTACAGAAATTCTCTACTGGGAGTCTACAACGACTTTTATGGAGGACTTACAAGGACTCTCGACTGGGAGCCTATACAATTTGTCTAGTACTCCCTACTATGATTCTACATAGACTATCTGCCTGAAGCATATTGAAAATCCCTTCGCAGTGTCAGAAAGAATCCCAGCTGTGAGCCAATAGATACACACTATAAGAACCAGGGATGGTCCGTGTGACCAATTTTTAGGTTTTCGACCGTCACAAAGGTGTAAACGTCAAAAACGTCATATACCTGTATAAAATGTAATAAATGTAGAAAATGTCATTTATTTCAATGTTATCACCATATACAGTTATTTCCAAGAATATATATTATTTTTACATATATCCGACTACTCGTTACTAGAATTGATTAAAAATTCTAAATTTTTTTTAAGAAGAAAATTTTGAAATTTTATATGGTTTTGAGTAAAGCATACGTGATTTCCACGTATTGAATTAATGGAAAAGCCATTTTGTGAAAAACCTAATGGTTTTGGGTGGGTTTCCGACGTTTTAGACGTATGTATTTTATGTCGGAAATGTATGTCATTTACGTCACTGTTTCTGACGGACCATCTCTGATAAGTACTATAAAAAAATCCATAAATCCATACGAATCCTTAAAGACTTCTACTGCAGGTCTACAATATGTTCTAGTTCGGAGTCTTCCTAATGTCGTATCTCTATATTTTATGAAGACTCCTTGCTGTGAGTCTGGATATCAATTCTGAATATCTTCAATCAGTCGAGTTCACACGAATGTTTCTCTACTACCAGACTACATGATGGAGTTTTGAAACCCCAAACAACAACAAAAGTATAATAATATAAAACACATTTTGCGTGCCTGTGTATCATCATATTCTGTTACGAACAAGTGGTAACAGACAGAGGGGTAGCCTACGACACCGGAGTGACAGACTGGTGGTGGGCAGGAAGAAAGGAAAAATACGCAGGAAGCCTTAAATGTAACAAGTGGTGGGAGTATTAACTGCCTCTGTATGTGTGCGTGCGTGCCACACACAGTTTCCTTCCCAATTGGAAATGTGTATGAGATCCTTCAAATGTTCAGTCTCTGTCTGGCGCAACTGCTGCTACGCTGCCAATGTCTCAGTTTGCGTCAGCCTTAAATATGGTCTATATATATATTTCTGTTTGGCCGGGTCGGTTAGTGGGTCGTGGTGGAGTGGTTGATTGGTGTCTGGTGTATTTGTGTGTTTTTGGTAACACAACAACAATAATAATAAAAAAAGTCCAAAAACAAAATTTGGCTAACCTTGAACTTGAACATGTAGTCAACAACACCAACGACGATGGCGGCCATGATGAGGACGATGGCGGACGAGCAAAGAGTAATAATAAAACTAGACAAACGACCAACAATTTTGATGGAATGAAATACCAACAACAACAACAGCAGCAACAAAACATTAGCAGTAGTAAAAACACAAAATATTAGCTATAGCGTCAGCAACAAAACAAACCGAACCCAACAAGAAAAAAGAAACATGGAAAATGTTGGAAAAATAAATGCCTTGCTGAACAGAAAAAAGGCACAACACACCGACACTTTCACACAAACAACTGAAAGGCTTTTTTCATGTTTCATTTTTACAATGGCCAGTGATGGCAGCCGGTTGTTCCAAGTGAAAATTATCATTGATAAGCAAATACCCCTTCATTTAATTTCAGTTTTTCTTTTTTGATTGTCTGTTTGTTGTCCCCAAACAAAATGTGCCTCCATCAGTGTTTGTTGGACTAACTAACTTTGTCAGTGTGTCATTCAGTCAGTAAAGAGATTTGTCTGTTATATTTCACACATTTTGTTGTTATGGCTATGGGATAATGTAATTTTATTTATTCAGTTCAAACTTTTTTTTCGCTTTTCCCAAACAAAAAATATTGTTTATAACAAACAGTTGTCATTGTCGTCTAAAAATTAATTAATTATTGTCTAACTGGGTGTCAGACTGACAAAAGGTAAAACATATTTGATTGATTTTTGAGAGAAAAAAAATATTGTTATTAATTTGGTTGTATAAAAAGGGAGATTGCTGCAAACTTCAGTGGGAATTAATTTGTTATCTTTTTTTAACAGGCAAGATGTAGCTAGGACTAGATATTGTTGTATTTAGTAAATCTGTTATAAATATATGGAAGAACGAGTTTTGGTTTATATAGCCTCACTTTATATATAAAAACTATGTCAGTAGTGTTGGCGGGTTATTTGGGATACCATTTGTATTTTGTTTTTGCAAAATAGTCAGGCTTAATCCCAGTTTGTTGTTTTTATAAAAAACAACTATTTATTAGTGGGGAATGTATGGCATTGTCCGCCGAGGGGTAAGGCAGGGAAGACTATAGTTTCGGATCTCGCCACTGATCCTCATCAGTTCCCTTAGTTTTTTGTTGGGATATTCTACCCAGAAGCTATTAATAGCTTCTTTACAAAAAACCTTTCAAACCCAAATGTCTCTTGTGACAATTCGAAGTTCTTACGTTACCAGCGATACGACCCCAATGAGAAGTTCGTTTCGTTGGCGCCTGACTTCGTGGTCAACAAGGCATTTACAGACAACTACATTACATTTCCCACTGCTGTGTCGTCACTTTGAGACGAATGCACATAACGTTGTTGTTGGTATTGCTAGTTAAAGCAATAAGCCTGACTATTTTGCAAAAACAAAATACAAATGGTATCCCAAATAACCCGCCAACACTACTGAAGTTGTAGACGAGGCACGGTCATACTGTTTGGTTTATTGCTTTAACTAGCAATACCAACAACAACGTTATGTGCATTCGTCTCAAAGTGACGACACAGCAGTGGGAAATGTAATGTAGTTGTCTGTAAATGCCTTGTTGACCACGAAGTCAGGCGCCAACGAAACGAACTTCTCATTGGGGTCGTATCGCTGGTAACGTAAGAACTTCGAATTGTCACAAGAGACATTTGGGTTTGAAAGGTTTTTTGTAAAGAAGCGATTAATAGCTTCTGGGTAGAATATCCCAACAAAAAACTAAGGGAACTGATGAGGATCAGTGGCGAGATCCGAAACTATAGTCTTCCCTGCCTTACCCCTCGGCGGACAATGCCATACATTCCCCACTAATAAATAGTTGTTTTTTATAAAAACAACAAACTGGGATTAAGCCTGACTATTTTGCAGAAACAAAATATAAAAACTATGGATTATTTTTATAAGGATATATATTTTATATATAGGGATGAAGGGTTCCAATAGTTTGTAATACCGTTAAATATTGCTCCGAGACCTATTTTTTAGTATACCTACCACTAGTCACATCTCGAATGAGGCGAGTTAGACATGTGAGTCGGTCGATCCGTCCGTCTGTCCATTATAGTTTGTAATCAAAACAGGCCAAAGTTATTATCTTTGTTGTCCTGAAGTAGGACGTTAACCTAGCGATCGGCAGACAATTATCAGAAATTCTTTATCATGGGCAAACAGACATACATACATCTCTATATGGACTTACAATTTTCTGAAACTGAAATCTTTTTCAAAGATATTTGGGGTTCATAGTCGATATCACACATGTCCTATGATATATACCAGTTTCCACCATTGTTACCCTTTACCCAATTTTATCTAAATATGGTAAAAATATTTCGACTTTACAATTTTTCAAAATTGACACCATCAAACATTTTCTAGATTTGGTAAAAATACGATGTGCCAAATCTGGTCCGTTCCGTTCGCTTCATACGATTTCTACAAAATTTTCAAATGTTAACCATTACATTAGGATGGCAAAATTCCATTTTATTATAACATATATTTTCAGGAAAATTGTAACAAAATATTTTTTGGAGGTTCCTGAAGAAGTATAACGATTTAAGTTGGACATTGAGGATTAAAAAGCTGATCATAAAAACATGCTCTCCACCATGAAGTGGACATTGAAATACATACGTAAAATATATGGGGCTATGTTATAGCATATTTGGTAGGATGGTTTGACACCCAATAACGTCTAAATAATTATATATATACCATTCGGCCCTCAAAGTAACGCAATTTGGGAGGTACTATGGGATTACTCTGACTTCAAAACCCTTTTTGAATTTTTCCTACCAACTCACATGATCTCACATTCCTTAAATTACCGAAATATGGGAGGTACCATTATATGGTAACTACTCTACAAATTTAACCCTTTTTATGTGCCAAAACTTGTTAAATGTTGCGAAATCGACAAAGTAATTTAATCTGAACAAAAATATGGGGTCCCCAGGGAATAATTCTAGTTCTTGTAAAAGCAATGACTTCATGTTATGGTGTGTGTATTTAGTGATGGGTAATGTGATTTTTGAAAGATATCATGATAACTATTGCCAATAATACTCCAGTTTGAAATAGGAAAACACCATGTCCAGTCCGGCTGGCAACCTTAAATATATTCCTTCTTAAAACTTAATCTGAGGTTGTACGAAGTATTACGATTTGGAAAGTTTGGGTGAAATCAGTGCACAAGCCAGCTGAACATTTCCAAATCGATTCAACATTTTCTAAAATGCATGTATTTTTATCGTGCCATTAGTCAAAAGATGGTGGTATAAATACGCTAGTCTTTTCTTAAGATTTTGGATTTTTTTTTCGTATTACAGATTTTGATCAGCATTATTGTGATTTTTTTCTTATTTACTCTAACTACGGTATACATACGTATAAGTAATGTGATTCATATTCCTATTATTCACACTCATACGCCATTGTAGCACAGCATTTAGTTCGAGCACGATGCTTCCGATGTTGACCAATTTTTCAATATAATAATATAAACACATTCAAATGTTATATGCTTATTTTTGTTGTTGTTCATTGTTGACCTGACGTATGCAGATTTGTGCTTGCTCCATTTCGGATTAAGGTCGGTGAAAGATGTTTAATTTTTTATTTTAAATTTTAGTTAAATTAACTTCCATGTAATTTCGATGTCAACCGAAATATTAAAAACTAAATAAGGGAACTAGATTTGCATTTGTTTTGGGAGTTGAATGAACAAAATATAAAAAAAATTCGGCTTAGAGTAAGGTTCTGTCTATTCGAATACAATATACTTAATAATTTAAATATTAAATTTTACACACTCGCATTTTACTGTTTTCATTTTAATTTGTTTTTTTTTTTAATTTATTTGAAAATAAATGTAAATTGAATAAATATCCTCTCTTCTCAGAATATGTCGCAACAATATGTCATGTATGCTGTCATAATCAAATAACGATTAATATTGTTGTTCTATTTACAATTACATACATACATACAAAATATATTTATTATGAAAAATGTTTTCAACTTAGTTTCCTCCCAAAACCAATAAAGATATTGGCGTATGTATATTTAAGGCACGTGTAAGGAATTCTTATAATTTCTCTAAAAATATGCATATACTAGCCACTCTAGTAAAATGAAAATTGTAACTATTATTGTTCAAGCGAATTGATCGAATATATAAATAAACTGTAGTCAGTATAACATATCAGGAACCAAAAAAAAAAAAAAAAAAAAAAAAAAAAAAAAAAAAAAAAAAAAAAAAAAATGTGAGATTTTATTCCAAATTTAGTCTTTAAATATTTTACTATTCGTAAGAAATTATTACAAAAATTAAGACTATAAAACACAGTGTATAAATGTAAGAAAATTCTTCTACAAATAAAACCTTCCCTTTTTCGTAACCATTTACCTTGATTAAAATGCCCACATGAAGCTGCATGTGTGTGTGTTTGTACTTTTGTATGTAACAACGCACTTTGGCGTTTAACACAGATCATGACCCTATTGTCGTCTGCAGCCTTAAGACATTTCGACCATCAACTATTTCATTGACCTAAAAAAGTGACCAATACTCATCGACGATTGTATTTTGTCGGTATCCACAAAATTGCAATATAGCCACAGGCTCTTGTAATTTGTCTGTATATGCATGTGAAGATACACAGTCCTAACAAATATTTATGTTTGACTGCATGTAACAGTTAAGGGTATTTATTTACCGTTTTTCATTAGAAAAAACGTATATATTTATCTATACGAAAAACCAGCATCTAACCAAAAACCGTTACAAGGAACAATGGATTTATATTATTTTTGTTGTTGCGAACGATAACTGTAGAAGAAAATAAACAATTTCATCCAACGTAATATTTTTCCAAAACGAGGTATCTGCTTCGAACCAAACATTGCAAAACATTTTAGCCAATCTTCCAGCCTACCTACCCCTACCCAATGGGTCAAAATTTGTAAATCTCATCTGAAGAGGATGTAATATCCAACTTCATCCAAACGTTATACGTCGTAAATTTTTTTATCTCACCAGGATCAAGTCCGAAATCAATCTACTTCTTCTGGTGCCTCCCCCACTGCGGTCCAAACGTTAAAAACTTTTATAATATTGATACTAAACATAGATAAAATGTATATTTTAGGAAAT